GTTTGTATGCCCATTTCTCTACTTTCTATGCCTGGTATGACCTTCTGAACCGGTGCAACGATCTCTGCAACAAAAGGTCTCTCACTCTCCAAAACAGTATCGTGTGAAATGGGCATGGCCCGTTCATAGTGCACATTTACCTCGTCTACTGGCACAGGTGGTTTCAATTCAAGCTCCGTTTGTGTTTGCCGCACGGCTGTGATGACTCCGAACTGCAATTCCACATCGTACGTGAGAGGGGCAACAACATCTGGCTGCGTTTTAAGGTCACCACTCATAACAGTATCATGCCCTTGTGGTGTTAAGGTGACTTGGAATTTCTTGTTTGCCCCGGTTTTCGGCGGAGCTTGTGTGAACTGGACACCTGTATCATCGGTTGGAACCACCGGTTTTATCAATGGATCAGTTTGGGTGTCGTGAATCATTGTTAAAACACCTGACTGCAACTCCACATCGTATGTGATAGGGGAATATTCCGCTTGTATGCCAACATCTTCACTGGGAATAACCGCCTGTACAGGGGGTAGGACTTGAACCTTTAGCTCTTCTTCTGTCTCGGACTGGTAATCTTTCCATTGTGGTCGTGATTCGGGTCCAGTGCCAATCACAATGTCAATAAATTCCTTCCTCAGTTCAGCTTGGACTTCTTTCTGACTTGTTTGAACCTCAGGCACATACTTGTATTGAATGTTGACATCCAACGTGTCGGCTTTTTTCTGTGCATCTGTTTGAGTAGACCCAGTCTTGGTCTTCACGCCCAATTGGCACTCGACATCATACGTGGTAGGCGTAATAATTGCCTGTAAACTGGCTTCGGCAGTTGGAATAGCTGCAACTTGCACAGGCGCAATGATATCAACCGAAATAGGTTCGCCGCTGTCTAACATTCGATCATGTGGCATGGGATGTAATGCAACCTGCAATTTCTTGTTCTTCCCTGCTGGTTCGATATCTTGTTCGTACTGTATACTCACGTCGTCTACTGGAACAACAGGTTTCAGAACCTTATCCGTTTGAATTCCGTGCACGTCCGTGACAACTCCTGATTGCATTTCCACATCGTATCGGGTAGGCACTATCAATGCTTGTATCCCCATATCCACTTGCGGTATTTCCGGCATGACTTGCTGCACCGGAGCAACCACTTCTACACTCAATGGTTTCTCACTCTCCACAATCATGTCACGTGCAGTCGGTCTTGCGGCCTCGTATTGTACACTCACGTCATCCACAGGAATGACCGGTTTCAGTACTGCCTCAGTCTGGGTTTGGTGTACACTCATCACGGTTCCTGATTGCATCTCCACGTCACGTCGGGTAGGTTGGATGATAGCTTGTATACCCCTATTTTCTGTGGGAATAACCTCTCTTTGAACCGGGGCAACTACGTCGATGTGTAGCACATCCTCACTCTGTGTGGTTTGGTCGCGTGTAGTTGGCTTCACACTAGTTTGATTTTCCTTACCAATTGGTCGTTTTTCTGTGAACTGGATCGAGACGTCTTCGGTCAGGATTGGTGGTTTTCGCAGCACATCTGTTTGAACACCAGCTACGGAAGTGATCACACCAGATTGAACTTGCACATCAGTAGTCATGTGGACGACTTCAGCCTGGAGACCAACAGTATTTTTGAGCACAATTTGCTTAGCCTCAACCAAAGTGTCAACTGCTGACGGACTGAGATTGACCTGAAACTTCTTGTTCTCACCTGGCCTAGCTTGAGCTGGTACGTGCTGCACACCCGCGTCGGCAGTATGGATTGGAGATTTCCGAATTTCGTCTGTCTGAACTGAATGGGCCTCCGTGATTATGCCGGACTGTAGTTCCACGTCATATGTGACCGGTGTACTTCCGACCTGTATTTCAACATGTTTTGGAATTTCACGGTGAACTTGTTGAACCGGTGCAACGATATCTACAAGCAGTTGTGGCTCACTTTCCAGGATCGCGTCCACAGGGGTTGGAGCGAGATTAACCTGAAGCTTCTTGTTTTCTTCCGGATGCCGTCTGATTGTTTCATGCTGAACCGATATTTCATCTACAGGAACGATTTCCGTTTGCGTGCCATGCACATCGACAACAATGCCCGATTGCAGTTCCACATCAAATTTATTTGGAAGAATTGTAACCTGTATCCCAAAGTCGTTTGTTGATGGCTCCTGGTGTAGTTGCTGAACCGGGGTAAGCACCTCCAAACTCAGCGGCTTCTCCGTTTCCAATAGTGTATCGTAACCCGCAGCCTTCCGTTCTTCGTGTTGTACGCTTGCATCGCTAACGGGAACATCCAACTTGAGCCGCAGGTCTGTTTGTATACTTTGCGAGTCCGTAACGACACCTGACTGTGTCTCCACATCGTATTTTATTGGGACCACTGGAGCGACTAGATCAACCATATCGATGCGTTCCGCTTCAACCTTCCTATCATACCCAGTTGAGTCGATACGTACCTGCAGCAGTTTATCTTCAACTGGTTTGGGTTTCCCGCTTACGTGTTGCACACTAGAATCATCCACCGAAACAGCTGGGATAAGCTGAGGCTCTGTCTGGACAGCATGTATTGTGCTAACTATCCCAGATTGTAGTTCCACGTCAAATCTTTCAGGGTAGATATACACTTGCATTCCGATATCAGACTTCGGAACTTCAGGAATAACTTGCTGCACCGGCGCGATGACATCCACACGAAGTGGTTGTTCGCTCTCCAGCAATGTGTCGAATGCAGCTGGACTGAGGTTCACTTGGAACTTCTTGTTCTCACCAGGTTTAGGCTTTGGTGTGGCATGCTGCACGCTTGCGTCATCCACTGGAACAACAGGCTGCAATTTTATCTCCGTCTGAGTACCGTGCACGTCTGTCACTGTTCCTGACTGCATTTCAACGTCGTACCTGGAAGGAGCCAGAGAGGCTTGTGCGCAAAAGTCGTCTGTCTGTATCACCTCACGTACTTGCTGAATTGGAGCCACAACATCCACATGGAGCTGCGGTTCTGTTTCAAGGAGTCTGTCATATCCCAAAGGTCTGGCAAGCACATGTTGCACGCTAATATCGTTGACCGGAACGACAGGCTTGGGTTTCAAGTCTGTTTGGTTGCCATGGGTCTCCGTGACGACTCCTGATTGCATTTCCACGTCAAACTTGTTTGGAACAATGGCAACCTGCACTCCAACGTCGTCTTTAGGTGTTACCGGGAGCAGTTGTTGAACCGGGGCTACAACGTCTACGCGCACTGGTTGGTCCGCTTCCAGCAGTCTGTCGTACGCAGCAGGCTTTTTGAACTCATGCTGTACGCTAGCGTCATCCACTTGAACGATGGGCCTGGGTTTCGTGTCCGCCTGCGTTCCATGCGTGTCGGTAACGACTCCGGATTGTAGTTCCACATCATACCTCTTTGGGAGAATGTCAGCCTGTACCCCAAAGTCATCCTTGGGTGTTTCCGGTCTTACTTGTTGTACTGGAGCTATAACATCCACATGCAGTGGTCTCTCACTCTCCAGCAGTCTATCGTACGCCACGGGTCTCTTCCCTTCGAATTGCATACCGGCATCGTTGACGGGCCGGACTGGTGTTAGCTTCGGTTCCGTCTGTGTACTGTGTACGTCGGTGACAGTCCCTGATTGTAGCTCGACGTCGTACTTGCTAGGTGCATAGGAAGCCTGTATCCCGGCCTCGGACGTGCGAACCTCCGGAATGACTTGCTGCACCGGCGCGATGACATCCACACGAAGTGGTTGTTCGCTCTCCAGCAATGTGTCGAATGCAGCTGGACTGAGGTTCACTTGGAACTTCTTGTTCTCACCAGGTTTAGGCTTTGGTGTGGCATGCTGCACGCTTGCGTCATCCACTGGAACAACAGGCTGCAATTTTATCTCCGTCTGAGTACCGTGCACGTCTGTCACTGTTCCTGACTGCATTTCAACGTCGTACCTGGAAGGAGCCAGAGAGGCTTGTGCGCAAAAGTCGTCTGTCTGTATCACCTCACGTACTTGCTGAATTGGAGCCACAACATCCACATGGAGCTGCGGTTCTGTTTCAAGGAGTCTGTCATATCCCAAAGGTCTGGCAAGCACATGTTGCACGCTAATATCGTTGACCGGAACGACAGGCTTGGGTTTCAAGTCTGTTTGGTTGCCATGGGTCTCCGTGACGACTCCTGATTGCATTTCCACGTCAAACTTGTTTGGAACAATGGCAACCTGCACTCCAACGTCGTCTTTAGGTGTTACCGGGAGCAGTTGTTGAACCGGGGCTACAACGTCTACGCGCACTGGTTGGTCCGCTTCCAGCAGTCTGTCGTACGCAGCAGGCTTTTTGAACTCATGCTGTACGCTAGCGTCATCCACTTGAACGATGGGCCTGGGTTTCGTGTCCGCCTGCGTTCCATGCGTGTCGGTAACGACTCCGGATTGTAGTTCCACATCATACCTCTTTGGGAGAATGTCAGCCTGTACCCCAAAGTCATCCTTGGGTGTTTCCGGTCTTACTTGTTGTACTGGAGCTATAACATCCACATGCAGTGGTCTCTCACTCTCCAGCAGTCTATCGTACGCCACGGGTCTCTTCCCTTCGAATTGCATACCGGCATCGTTGACGGGCCGGACTGGTGTTAGCTTCGGTTCCGTCTGTGTACTGTGTACGTCGGTGACAGTCCCTGATTGTAGCTCGACGTCGTACTTGCTAGGTGCATAGGAAGCCTGTATCCCGGCCTCGGACGTGCGAACCTCCGGAATGACTTGCTGCACCGGCGCGATGACATCCACACGAAGTGGTTGTTCGCTCTCCAGCAATGTGTCGAATGCAGCTGGACTGAGGTTCACTTGGAACTTCTTGTTCTCACCAGGTTTAGGCTTTGGTGTGGCATGCTGCACGCTTGCGTCATCCACTGGAACAACAGGCTGCAATTTTATCTCCGTCTGAGTACCGTGCACGTCTGTCACTGTTCCTGACTGCATTTCAACGTCGTACCTGGAAGGAGCCAGAGAGGCTTGTGCGCAAAAGTCGTCTGTCTGTATCACCTCACGTACTTGCTGAATTGGAGCCACAACATCCACATGGAGCTGCGGTTCTGTTTCAAGGAGTCTGTCGTACCCTACAGCTGGTGATTTCCCATACTGGATGCCGGCATCACTCATGGGAACTGCAGGTTTCATTCTCATATCTGTTTGCGTACTGTGTGGGTGACTAATAATTCCTGATTGTAATTCCACATCGTATCTACTTTTTGTCACTGTCTGTATCGAGGCTTCAGATTTGGGAACATGGGGAATAGTTTGTTTGACTGGGGTAACCGTATCAACCAGAATTGGTTGTTCACTTTCGATTATGGCATCATATGCCAATGGATTGATGGCAACTTGGAACTTCTTGTTTTCTGCTGGCTTCCGTGGCTCATGTTGTACGCTTGCGTCATCCATGGGAATAGCAGCACTCAACTTAATCTCTGTTTGTGTACTATGTTCTTGCGTAACGACTCCAGACTGCATTTCAACATCGTATTTTGCGGTGGAAACTTTGGCAGCGCTTTCCGCCACTATGGTCGTCTGTGTACTGTCTGCTTGGGTAACTACACCTGACTGAGTTTCCACGTCAAATCGCGTGGATAGGATTTCCACTTGTTGTCCATAGTCCATTTTTGGTGTCACTGGCCGAAATGCTTGTTGCACTAGCACAGGCTCCATGACCAGTTGCTCCTCTGTAGCGATTGTTGCATCCCTACCACGTACTCGAATGTCAGTCCCTACGTTGGCATCTTCAACTTGCACACGTTTTTGATAATCTATCCTAGTCTGTGTATCTCTTGACATTGTGACTACGCCTGTCTGCAACTCAACTTCAAAGGCTACGGGTGCAACCGCTGAGTATTCTGTGGTCTGAGTTGATTTGGCCTGCGATATTACACCAACCTGACTGCCCACATCGTAGTCTTTGTGACTTCTTTCGACTTGTGTTGACCGAGACTCTTTGGCGATACCGACCTGCGTGAGTACATCATAGCTCTTACTTCGAGGTTTGGGTTTCAACTCTTGAGGTGTTTGCAACGCGAACTCGTGCAGTTTCGGTCGACGTTGCTCCGACGTTTGCGTCACGTATGCATATGCTTTCGGGGCCGGAGCGGACAATACTGGCATGGTTTTTGTTTCAATCATCCTATCCTCTGTCTGTGTGCCCCAATTGGTGGTGATGACACCCGTTTGTGATTCAACGTTATAGCTGTCCACGTAAAACTTCCCCAATTGTTGAACTGTTGCGTCTCTGACTAGCCCCAAGTCCGTTTGACACGCCATACTCATGGAAGGTTTTCCAATAAGCCCGGCAAATTGGGTGGCCTGGTTGTTGGATAGCACTCCCACTTGAGTCTCTACGTTAGCTGTTGTTGTGAAGACACGTTGTTGCTGTTGTTGGATGACCTCAACCATCGGTATCTCCTCCAACATCTCTGTCTGCAGCTGCTGTTCCATGGTTAAGAATCCTAACTGAGTTGCCACATCAAAATGTCTTCCTGTTGGTGGCTCGACTTGCGTCGATACGCTTTGCTGTAGAAGACCGATCTGGCAGATGGCATCTAGAACGGAAGGACGTGGTGCCAGCAGGGAAACTTGTACCGCCGCCGGTTGTTGCAGAACACCTACCTGACACGCGGCAGCAAGCGTTGACTCCTGACGTGGCCTTTCTAGCAACAGATCAGATTGTACCGCAGACTCTGTGGTTATCATGCCTGTTTGAGTAATAGCGTGGAAAGTCGAGGTCTCCACGTGCGGTGTTTGGGTTCCCTGAACGGCGAGCAAACTGCCAATCTGACATATTACGTCCGAAACGGGTCGGGGCTGCATCGAACTGGCGACAAATTGTTCGCTGACACTTCTGCTGGGTCTGAGTGCTAGATCAGTCGTTTGTATGCTTGCACTTGAGGTAACGGTACCAATTTGACAAATCGCATCCCTTGCTGGTTGAGCTGCAGAAGTTTGAAGTCCAACACTCTGCTGGCTTCGTGCTCTGGAAACAGCAGTGCCTAGCCATGGCTCCGTTTGCGTGTGGCTTGTGCTCTGAATATAACCCACTTGACAAAACGCATCTCCAACCTGAGGCGGAGGAGCCTGTTGGGTCCGAACTTGNACTCTGCTGGCTTCGTGCTCTGGAAACAGCAGTGCCTAGCCATGGCTCCGTTTGCGTGTGGCTTGTGCTCTGAATATAACCCACTTGACAAACCGCATCTCCAACCTGAGTCGGAAGAGCCTGTTGTGTCCGAACTTGCTCCACCCCAACCCAAGAAGTCTCAAGCATATCGGCCTGAAGAGATGCATCGGCATGCACTGTACCGGTCTGAGTGATCGCCTCGAACAGTTCACTCTTTTGAGGCGGTGGTGGTGCTTGAAGACCCTCTGTTTGGATCAACTGGACAGAGGTGATCTGACCAATCTGACAGATTGATTCTTTCAAGGGACGAGCTGCTCTGTACTCAGTCACTTCGGTGGTCATTTCTAATTGGTGCGTTTGTGATGCAGCATTTTCCGTTTCCACACCAATCTGTGTTATGGCATCCATCACGTCCTTCCTGACCCTGGGAGCTGCTTCCCCGTGCCAAGTCACATCAGACCGTGTGCTGGATCGGACACTAGAGCTAGTTCCTGACTCCTGACTATCGAACTTCGGGTGTCCCCGGTCATATCGACTGCTCCATCGCCGAACACGACTGATCAGGTGCTCTAATTGTGTCTGGTGATCACGTTGCAGTGAGCTGTATGGAGGGAGGGAGAGAGAGAACCATTTAACACGATTCTACGTTTGAGGCGAGTGCTCTCACAAATACGAACATAAATATGCAAAGTTTGTAGTAGCCATGTCATCGTCACACGCGCAACCACTGATGCACCGTTATGCTACGCTGTGGTTTCGATCCCCGAGATATGCACTGGCGATATCATCTCGATCGGTGGCAAAATGCTTCCGGTCCAACTGTTCCTTGCGTTTTTATAGTTTGTAAAAGGTAGCTTGACTAGCCAATGGAAGTCACCTCACTCGTAGTTTGTTCAGTCTGTTAGCTACCTGCGTTGTGCTATAGTCTTCCGTTCTTGGGTTTGAAACGTGCCCGATCGCACTTTCCTCCTTTTGATCATTCCAACTGTGGTTTTTGTCACAGACAGCAAGACAGCACACATCGCGAACCAATAAACCAAACTACGTGAAGGTGACTTTCAATCAGCCAAGCACGTTACAGGTATAAGGTAACTATTAAAAGTGCCAAAGTTATCAAGAAGGTCAGATTTCTGAAAGTAACCCCAGAACCTACTGAGACCCTAAAACTCCACCAAAATCTCAATAGGAAAGCCGGCAAGCATCTAGGCTAATCAATGATTCAATCAATTCAGCAGAGGCCAATGAATGTTCAGGCACGCCACAGAGGCACGATCGAATGTGATCAGTGTTCAGGCAGTTCATAGAGGCACGATCGATGTTAATGGGTGTTCACCAAACGCCTATCAGACAGCCTGGATCAATGCCAGAAAGTGCCCTTTAAGTCGCGCGGGGGCGTTGCACTCGCATGCACCCATTTTTTTGGAATAAAGCTGTTGTGTACCCTTGCAGGTGAGTTCTTTCTGGCAACAGGTACTGGACTGGGAACATCAGTTAATGTACATATAGGTTTTGTTCTATTTGAAGCTTGTTTTAACATGGAGAGTAATTTTAGGGTCATTTTTCTCTCCTGTATGCAGGTGAGAAACGTGAAAAAAACGTGGTTTGCCATTTATCAGGTTTATAACCCAACAAGACACGTGGAAAAGTCGCAGTGTCTCATTGCATCTGTTAATCTATCCAACCAACTACTGCAATTAACTTTGAGTTGGTCTGTTCTTGTTTATCTACCTTTCACGCTAAATATGATTGACAAAACTACGGTAAAACACTTGTACCCGCGTAAGACGAGACGGACAACTGACTGGAGTGGAGACTACAGTCTGGGTTAAAATCTGTGGAAATTAATCGAACCTAGATTGCACAAGTTCTATTTGTGATAGCCTTCATCTGAAGTAGGGAATTGGTGTGGAGATTAACAGGTACGCAGACCGCTGACGACATCATAATTGTATGGTACATATCATTCACTTGTAAGACAGACCCCCGCTTGTCATCCTACATATCAAAATCTCATCAGAAGCCAACATGACTGTGAACACGAATCAATTAACGAGGGTTCTTTTTGGACAGCTCGCCTAATTATCACAACGTACGACTAGAGTCGCCACCTAACTATTTTACTGAATTGGCTCGGTGTTCGAGAACTACACTCATTTGCAAATCAGTTTGGTTTTCATGAGAGACTCAACCGAATCTCTCGTTTATGATAATCTACAGCTGAATGTGCTGCACGCAGGCCGTCTCATGATTCAGTTGGCATGATATTCGAGATATCGCAGTATATTTTCATAAAGTAAACTACTCACAAGGTTGCTGAAAACTCTTCGACAGCCCACGACCGGTTTCGCCCTTCCAATTCGCGCTCATCAGGTAGGCGCAGTCCCCGAGTTTCCGTCAACCTTATGTTCTACTTGAACCCAAATTGGACTGTTTTCGAGAAATACACTCATTTGCAAATCAATTTGGTTTTCACGAGACACTCAACTAAATCTCTGGTTTATGATATTCTACTGCGCCTACCTGATGAACCCCAAGAAGGGCGAAACCGGTGGCTGGCTGTCAAAGAGTTTTCAGCAACCTTGTGAGTAGTTTCCTTTTCTGGCTCGGTGTTCCTTAATGTATGTGGACTTGTGGAGGTCACGCACTAGATCCCGCGTCACAAACACTCAAATCACGTGACAACTGCTATCCCACTTGTAACCTCAGCCGACGACATGTCCATTACAATATCCATTTTTGTTTACGCGGCTATGCCAACTGTGTCACGCGCCACGCTTGGGAACTTCAACCACATCAGGTCAAGTTGTATTCACGTTCGTGCAAGCATCAAACGCGAAGGGACACCCATCTCTTCACACTACATGCAACTCTGCCCAAAAACACATCCGCGCACAGGACAGGGAGTCAACCGAGCTCCAAAGGTCCCCAAGGCCAACTACGGAACACGTGCAGCAGCTGTGCTAAAGTGAAGATACGTCCTGCGTCCAGAATGTCACTCTGGAACTCTCAACAGTTGTCCTTGAACGATTAGTCACTTTTTTGGCTTATTCCATTCTTGTATTGCATTTATTTTCATCAAGTGCACACAACTTTTGTGACCATCATCATTCTGATAAAACATATGTGTTAGTGCTTGTTGTCACCTTCTGATAATCAACCTAATGACGTTACAACCAGATCACTAACAGACAATACAAAACAATCCAGCCTCATGAGAGGCTAATTAGGATAAAATGTGATTTGTCGTCTCCTCTGGGTTTGGCCTTTTGAGAGAGTCCACACTGAGTCACACACCTGACGTCGGATGCTTTTGTGGACAGTCTGAAAAATCTTCCTTTACTTAGAGGGATTTCTTTTGAAAGTACAGCTGTCTTCCCCTCTTGAACGATCCTTAAGTGGGGTCTATTAGAAACAAAGAGCCTCACTCATTGGCTATGAATCTCTTCCAGAAAAGAGTGCTTTCTTTCGACCTTCCCTGGTGGTCTCTCCGGAAGGGAAAAATGAAAATCGCTTTCGCTGTAAAAAAAATACTTGATAGGATTAACCTGTCTCTCTACCCGATCTATTTGTAAGAAGAACGTACGTCATGCGCTTCAGTTCGTCGTCCATCCTTCGTCGATCGGCATCGATTTCGCGCAGGTAGTGCGCCATGTGTTGTCCAATAAACTGCGCCTGTACGTTCAAACTGCGCATTTGGTTTTCGTGATCCCGCAGACGAAGAAGAGGACTGTGCATGGAAACAATGTCTTGTTCGCGTAGTACGAATGCATCTCTGGGTTGCCGTCCACCTGCATGAGAGGGACGAATAAATACAATGGAGCTGCGCTTTGTGTTTCAACCAGAATCAAGAGACAAAAAGAGAGTTTAGTAGCTTAGCCTTACTCTCTACGTGGCTAGTTTTTGCCTGAAGAAAGAAATTTGATTACGGAATGGAACAAAACCCAACTGGAGTTCGGCACAGGTTACACACCTGAACGAACCACACCATCGATGAACACGACAGATTTCTTGATTCCCGTACTAGGACGGTTATTGTCTGGATTCCGGCTAACGCGGCCAATTTAGCCTTGGTCGGTTTTTTGTTCATAATTCACCTGTTGTTGCCTGTTTCTAACTAATCTACCCTCGAGAGGGTATTTTCGGGAAACGCTAAAAACGATACTAATTCCTTCCGCTCCGCCACACGACATTCGGTTTGTCGATAGTTCACATCTTAGTGAAACGATATCAGTCACTCGATTGCCAAACTGACATCCCGAACTGCACTACCAAGCCTAAGATTCCAGAAGAAATGATGGCGCGTTGGAATGATCAGTTCGATATCCCCTTGTTCATCCGAATGGGACATTTTTGACGGGCCCTGTACCAGCGATGGGCTAGAACAGGGCCCGCAATCGAAACTTTTTTGATATCAGTGCCTACTGGATATTTCACTAAACGTGTAGTTTGTGGCCGTCCCATATGCAGACTGAACAACCAACCACAAACCTGGTGGTCGGGCCCGGCGAAAAGACCACACACCAGTCAGCTGACAGGACGAGTGGGTTTGAACCAGTCACGTGACCCTATGGGATTCAGCCCGTGTGCGCGACAGCGTGCGCCAACACGCATGACCGCCTAACCAATGTTGTAGCCACAGACTTCACTCAATACTTCATACCTTTTTAGACGGTGTACCTGTGGCCGGAAATCCTGTGGAACTATTCCACAACAGCTAAAAAAGATTTATCTTGATCCAGTGTAAACTACGGGCACAAGAATGCATCAAGGAACTATGGAAAAGTTCACTGTATGGATTACACTAATGATTATTGAACTTTGAACGTCGTTCAAATGAAAGAGGCTGAAGTACTGAAAGTACTCATTCCCAGCTTTTACTCAACCATTCGGTTATTTCCACATATTAGGTAGAGAATACTGCGGCAGGATTAGTGGAGAGGCCAATTATGTGGAGGTCCCTGTGAATTCAGCCTCAAGATAGATCTTCACAGTGTCACCATCCCTGTAGATAGACAAACCTGTTACCTTGACGATAAAACAAATGCATGGCTCATAACGAAGACTGTTTACGTGCGAACTTCTCGTGGCCATATGAGGTTGTTGCCTTGTAACAATCACCACGATATGGAGGAAGCTATTTAGAGGATTCTGGCACCTGTTTCTCGGAACCTTATCGCGGCACTTTGTGATCTTAAATGCCTGTTTTTTTTCGATACAGTGGTGCCAGTGAGCGAACTCGGTTGGCCTAGTCGAGGGCTGCACGAGAACAGCGGACTTAGTAGGACTCAGCAAGTTAGCGGAATGCACTCATTTGCACGGCAGTTTGCTTTTAACTGAATCCGAGCAGAATCTCCTGCTTATGAATGAATGTACTGCACACAGGCCGCCTCAAATTTCAACCGGTACGATATTCGAGATGTTGCAATATATTTTCTCGGAAGAAACTACGTTTAAGTTTGCTGAGTAGTTTATTTCAAGGAGGGAGTAATCTGGAAACAGGAAACCACTGATGAGCCATCCATTAGGACGGGATGAGCCGCAAACCAAGTTGCTACCACAATATTTAGCCTAATCAGGAGTGCTTTCGTTGAAACCGGCTCGTGTATGATCACTTTCCTGGAACCTGAACTGGATGAATCTATCACCTGCTTCAGCCTAATGAGTGAATCACTGTTGATTTAGTTAGAAATCGAAATCAGTAGTGCACTGTATTACAAGTATTCGTCCGCGCGCATCTTATCAGCACTATCAATATCTTAGACAAGTTCTGGCAAGAACCCCAAAGTGGTTCATGCAACTGGACATTGCGCATTTCGATAGTGGATCACCGTGTTATTCGGAAATACGCGTATTTCCGGGGTGTTTTGGGTTTTTAAAAAATAACTTTTCCAGCCTTTAATCAGATTTACTCTGAGCTGGAAAACGAAAAAGAACCGTGCAACCTTTCGTCCTTGTTGGAGATAACCAGGATATATGATTCGTATGAACACGTTGCCATTCGGCTTCGATACTGCCCAATGGATGGTATCGAAAATGCTTGTTCTGAGGAACCAAGGCAGAATCACCGCTAGAGCGACTTCCACTTAGTCGCCTGATTCTGTGTTCGGAAAAACCCGTGCTTTTGTAGCTAGCCCGTCACCCACACACTTGACTGTTCAGCTCACAGTCGCTAACTGGATCACGAAACTTGTCCTTTTTCATACTCACAAACCACGCCACATTAAGATGACTCATCGGACATCGATTGTCGGTACCGTCTAGTGAGCGTAGCAACAACTCATGCGCTAACACACCCACGTACACGCAAACGGACCTACATATAGGGAAACCGAACACAGTCGACACACAGACTCGCGCGCGCGCAGGGAGCAGGAAGTCAACCCCTCCACAAATCCACGGGCAACTATGGAACACGTGTAGCAGTCGTACCGCGGAGAAAACACGTTCCCGCCGTCCGGACTTTCTCACAGACGATAAGTTCCTTTTTTGACTTGCTCTCATTTCGCATTGTAGTGTTGCAACCCACCACTGTCAACCATGCTAAAAACTTTTATTAGTGCATACACCTTCTGATTTGTATTATGGCCGTCAACAGCAGTGCACTAATAATTTTACGTTTGTTAAAAAACCTCCACGCAGTAGGTCTACGTTATGATCCTGCATCGACTGGCTCCTTCAGCCACGACTTCTTGGATAGCAGGCCCTTGTAGGATTTCTCCTCTTTCTCGAACATGTTGCATAGGGATTGCGCACTGTAACCGTTTTCACAGATTGTTATACTACTAGTGAATGCTGTTTGCCCATATGCCATACTTGCGTACTGAGGTAGTTTCTAGATTCAAATACGTGACAAATTCGCCATGAAGCTCACGTACACTTGTAAGCAGTTTTGGTAGAAGTCTTATGCGCACTACGCAAAGTTGGTTTGTTTTATCTGTCACAGTGTCACACCCGGGGACCAAACCATGCAGGAACGTATTTCAGTCGGCCGACCTCCGGCAAGAACACTTCAAGATAACACTCGATTAAGGCATGAAGCCCATGACCAGGAGGTCTACGGTTCGACTGAGTTATCAAATGCTCTGGTTTACCCTTGGGCACCATGGCGACATCTCTCACCTCCTTCAAAGAGAGCTTTGTGCCGAAATAGTAACAGCCGCAGAACTATTATTTTACCATGAGTAACCTTCAGTAAGTTTCATTATGACCGGACGAACTGATAGCACCAAGTTTCCCTGTAGTGTGAAAAACCCCAAGAAAAGTGCGGCCAATCAATAGCAGACAAACCGATCGTGGTCCTTGAAAACACGTACGGATGGGTGGTATATCGCCTGAGAGCTTTATTTAGACGAATCAACCGCATTTCTCAGAGCAACACTATTTACCAGGGAATCCGTGCTCACTAGAAAAATGCGTACAAACTGTCCAACTGCCGGTGATTATGAGAACTGGAGTTTCAAGTTCACACGAAGATGTAGACGTATACGCATTTGCGAACTGTTTGAACACCGGGTTGAAGGAAGTATGGACATTCAGTTGTTATCATAATCATTGTCAGCTGTAATAACCGCGTACTCGTCGTACAGTGGTTGTAGCTGCCGCAGTTTCGTTCACCGATGATTTTGGGGGGAGGGCTAGGTAGCTGCGCATTGCAAGCGGGAGCCGATAAATTGGTGCATAAATCCGGCACTGTCAGTGGGCTGTCAAGTACGGGGGGTTGGAAAAAGAGCTATGCATTGAAGGCGATAGCTTGGATGCACGAGCGTCATTGAGGGCGCGANGCACGAGCGCATTGAGGACGCGACTGGGCCATATCTGACAATGTCTCTAGCCCTTGATGTGGCGCGTCTCGGGGTCCACATCCAGGAAGACTGCACTGACCAGCGCAGCTGAGTTTGCTGGTAATGGCTTTCATACTTCGCTGCCAAGTCACTGTTGACCGCCTCTGGCTCTCTTCCACCCTTCACGTGGTTGTGCGAAAAGAGCGCTTCGAGGAAGTCGGTCGACTGGCATATGCAACACGTGGCCAAGCCAGCGCAACATATGCGGTGTGATCAGTTGATCTATCGAGGGTGAATTATTTCTGCCAAATACCATTCGACGTACTTCAGAACTGCTGATCCGGTGTTCCCACCAGATTTGGGCAATGCTCCGAAGACATCGATGGTCAAACATTCAGTTGTAGAATACCATAAACGAGAGATTCAGTTGAGTCTCTCGTAAAAACCAGGTTGATTTGCAAATATGTGTACTTCTCGAAAACAGTCCAATTTTTGTTCAAGTAGAACATAAGGTTGACAGAAACTGCGCCTACCTGATGAGCCCCAAGAAGGGCGAAACCGTTCGTCGAAGAGTGTTCAACAAACTTGTGATTAGTTTATGACAAAAATCAGCCAAGTATGAATGTCGTAAACAACTGATCCTCTGAGCTATCGTGCAAGTTAAGATGACCTGATCAACTTCATTTTCACCCCCAAAAGTTCCAACAATGGACTTTTATGTGGCACCTTGTGTTCCATCATCGTCCATTGAAGTGTGATGTAAGCTAGATATATCCATTTCTTCGGTTCCAGGGCAATCCCTTCCGGAAACAAGGCTTGAATAGTCTCTTGTTGGACACTTGTAAAAATGCGATTAACTCCATGAAACGCAAACGAATGCAGCAACAGAGGGATAGGAATTTTTGCGTAAAGTATACAACTTACGTTCAACTAACTGTAGCTTGTCTTGGAATCGATTCAGAGCACGTTTCAGTTCCACTGCAGATGCATCCGATGGCGGGTAGAGTAGATCCAAATCGTCCAGGAAGTGTTGCATCACGTTCTTGCTGCTGTAGTACACATCCTAGGTGAGGAGAGCGTGAGGAAGTTTGCTAATTTAACTCTCAGTATTTTAGTACATAGTCGTATGTCCTAGAAATTTTACCACCAAGAGCGCATGTAGGTGTGTGGTTTACGACTTCGACTCCAACAGTCAACACATGGGACGAACAACATACAATAGCCTACCTAACACACAGGCTCAGTCTATTTTCCACACTCAGCACGTGTCTGCCAGATATTTGTGAATTTCTTTGGGATCCAGTTTCGTCTTTCCGTGAATGGGCAAGTTTAAATGAGTAGGCATCACTGTGCTGCTGAGCCGCGCGTCCACTCGACTTTTCAGCATAGATTAGCTTCACTGACAGGATGGAATCTCTGTCGAAAGTCCTTTAGTGATTACATCCTTCATCGAACTACCGATTACCAGAACGTTATTTATTTATTTATTCGGTATGCGGCTGTACCGAGGCCAGCCGTCCCTAATAACCGAACATCACGTCATTTGGACGGATGTGTCAAGTGCAGGACACGGACCAAACGAAGGCATGCTCTGATTGGCCAGAATACCAGCCAATCCGGATCGAGCTCCTTTGACTGGACGCTTCTCGCCACTTCACGGAGATTCTAGCACGACCTTGTGGAACACTGTGATTACCCTATAAATACAGGTGTAATGATGCTCCTCTTGTCGCCATAAAGGGCTGTGCAGAGCTACCGTGCCTTTTGCTATACCGTAGTGGGCGGAGCAGGAAGCCAAGGGACCGATACAGAGTTGCACGACCGTCCACCAAGACACAACGACTGGCGACGTCATATTTTTTCTGTTCTTCGTGGCTATGTTTGGAGCTGTTCGCTATCGCTAATCGAGGGAAATATAGACCTTGAAACACCTCTTGCAAACAGCAACAGAAAAAAACCATAGGGCTATAGTTATTTTTTTGGTATTCTCTGTCTCATAGCTGTCCACACCGGTCTTTTATGTGTTTTCCTCTATAATAGCGGGTTTTTCACCTGGTGTGAGCCAAATCGTCCATTCAACTCTGCTGCCTAAAGTATCTGGTGATTTCTGCATTCAAAGTGAGGATATAAAGCCCTTGAAAAGTAGTATCCTGTACCGTGCGGAGGGTAAACCCCATCAGGGAAAGTCAAACAACACCGGGCTCTGACATACAGGATGTTCGTTCTGCATGCCCGCGCCATCTCCACACACCAACAACTTACCCCATTCTCTGCCATGTGACTCAGCACCCGGGTGTAGTAGGTCCGCAACCGTTCTCTCATTCGGTCCACTGCCAGTTCCCACGATTCCACACACTTCTCTCTTGCACTGAATCAAATCAAATACAGAGAGAGACAGTACATGCATTGTGCGAAGGAACGGGACGCAAATAGCACAGTCAAATCAGCCGTATCACATTAGCTCGCGTGGAATGCAGAGACTGGAATGAAACTTGCCTCCAACCTGCCTATATGTAGTCTGCTGTATACCTTGGTTAAAGCAAGCATCAATCAATTGTGGAAACTGTGATTACCAAAACTCTGTTGCGAGCCAATCACGCATTCGCACATAGGTCCACAGCTTGGATCTTCATCCTCAACCGGATTGGTTGAAAAAGGTACCACGTACAATCAAAACGGTGACAAACCATCCTTAAACTTTTGGCTGATTCTGTAAATATTTTCTGCCTGTACAAACCGTGTGAATAGGCATCGCAGCCGATGGGGAGTAATGTTATTCGTATACTGCAAGTGACTATCGGTGAGCTCTTTTGGGATGAAGTGGGGAAACCGGGTTTCCAAAGGAGGTTTAACTGCCCTTAGATGGTTATTTGCTTCGAAAGAAAATGTTAGGAGTAAATTTCAGCTCGTGAGATAAATTACTGTTAATATCATCAACTAAACTGAAAGTAAAAGGTGAAAGGGACAAAGGGAACGGTCTTTTTATCCGTCGGTCGGTCAGTGTCGTGCAGATCTCAAGCAGCCAACTCTCCATTCAGACGATGATATTACTTAAGCTCACCACCTTAAAAAAATCAAACCAAAATCGGTTACGTATTAGCACTCCTGGGCTGTGGGCCAATGATTACTCATTTCGAAAACACGCCATGCTTTGATCGGCTTGAAATCACGTGGCCCTTCACACTGAGGCAGTTTCCAAGCCGAACGAAAGCACACCTCTTAAACGAAGAAGACTCACCATCGTAGTCTAAACTCTTACCGAACGAAAGCACACCTCTTAAACGAAGAAAACTCACCATCGTGGTTGGCCAACTGACCCGTGTGCAGTCGGACTAACCTTTTCGGGCGCAGAGGCCTTTGGGGTTTTTCATGGGACAGCGGAATGAAGGTCACACACCGAACGCATCACAGCATGAGTCATTTCCGCCTGCTAGCCGGCATCCGCTGTCGTGCTGTACCACCCACTAACGCACCACCCATTGAGGTGCACTCCCTCCCACACCCAGTCAGTCGCACTGAAAAAACTCGAACCACTGGTCGAGCAAGCGATGCCAAAGCGGGGTTTTGGTTGGAGGGCTGGTCGACTCAGTGAGTCAGTTCACTCAGGTGGGTATCCCGCGCCCGGTCTACTTCATCGGTTTGCGACCTGGTCAAGCTCTACGGTGGTCGGCTTCGGTAAGTGGGCTGTGTAGGCAACAGGCCAGTGACGGTGGCAAATGTTACGCCCGACTAATGGTTGAAACTTAGGGTTTGGTTAGTCCGGAGCTCAGTGGAGCGATACACGCTGAAGCCGCATAAGGGGTGAGTCAAACCAACACAGTTCCCAGTCGCTGACTAGGGCGAATGAATTGGTGGCACTTTATGGGGATGATGCTTCCGAAATACAAGGCACCACTGACTAATCCGTGGTATCACTTCCTTCTGAAGCAGCATTACGATGAATATGAAGAGGACTAAGACCTGTATGTCCATAATCATATTCCCGGAGTTCAAAAAATATCAAAGCATGTATGCGCATCTAGCGTTACCTCAGGGAACAAAATTTGAGACCGTTCACTTGACATATATTCCACGTGGTATATTGTTCCCTCAGTTGGCCCCATCTCTTACGATCGATGGTGGATAAAGGAAGATGTCCGTTGTATGCGTACGGAATTGGATTTTGAACTCACATAACCACTGGCTTTGCCTGGGGGAATCGCTCTTAAGCGCACCAGTCCACAGTAGTGACTACTTTTCATCGATCCATTGAGTTTCCTATCGAGTTTTAGGTCCATAGAAAACCAAACATCATCGCGGACTCCGGAACAAACTTCACAGCAACTGTTGGTCAGAATCAATCGAAGACGCGTCGTAATACACTGTTCATAAGGTTGCGGAAGGATGTCATTAACGAGCGAATCAGCTAAGATTCGTCTGCGTCTCCCTTCAACATCTAATCAATTTGCAAATAAGTGCATTTCTCTATCAGCTAGATTGTTTGATCTGCAAACATGGCAGAGCAAAATGACTAGTGGTGAATGACCATCATCCTTCACAGCGGATCTGATAAGTACTCACCAGTGAGTTGTAAGCTTTGTTTGGTTAGACATGATGAATGGATCTGACTAACCAAGCCGACTGGTTTATCCCGTTCTATCGGGACCTGACCTGTCCACCATGTGACATGGATTTTTTTATGTGGAACGCAGCTTGAGTAAGATAGTATTCAACTGAACGAACAAAGCTATTATGGTCGACAGTTTGGATGACGATGATTAGAATGGGCGGCAGTGTTGTCGATTCTTTTGCGATCCTGTGGATTCGGTTTGACTCAAGCCGGGTTACGTGGACCAGAAAAATAAATAACGCTCGAGTTTGCCTGAAATTACAAACAAACACATCTGGTTTCACTACCAAAGAGGGATTTTTTCACTGTCTAGCTGCATCCTTAGTATGGAAAACAAGTAGGTTAAAGAGAGTTTTAGTGCGCAAACCATTAACGTCTCAGGAGTTGCCTAGCTAATTAGAAAGTGGTCACTGATTTGTCCTCTTAGTGGAGACATCTGGTTTAATCGCTAGTCGAGGCGACATCATCAGAGCGTTGTGGGTCGAAGACACCTTCACTCAATTCCGCTTGCAGCGAAAGTGGATTGCCATAAGTTGGCGATTTCATGAGTCTCAGCTATGTCTTTCAGACCGAAGTTTCAATGACTCCCTGAATCCCCAAAAGTGTAGTTAGTTCCTTTTCCCCAAACGGTTTAAATACTCACGTTATTGCTCGCTTCACAGCCCCCAAATCCGGATCGGAAATCCACAAACAGACCGAGGGAACTTCAACAATCCCACTACTCGTCTGCACCTTCCAGAAATGTGGATCATCTGTGTTGCTCACGATTCGAACTTCTTCACCCTCGGCCAATTCGTAGTTCGGACCGGCCAACGACAGGAGCGCTCGAGCCATCACAACACTGGGAACCTCTGTGTTCGTGCTCAGACCGTTGTTCACTCCACCCAACCGTAGGTGCACCGGAACCACCCGTCGGCTCTCTTCCAACAGTTGCCCAGTTCGATTCCACAAATGTATGAAGTGGTTCAGATGATCCTTCAGGTGTGGAAAACACAAAAGTGCAAAGATAAATTTGTTGCTAGGTGAAAGAGAACGCTGTCTGATACTTAGTGCAGAAAGTGTGCGGTTCATTTGCAACACTACTGCGAACAACATGATCAAATTTGCCCACAATCCTGGGCAGTAAACTTCTGTCAAATGTCGTACACTACTCAGCTGACCGAATCAAGTCCTGTGCAAAGTAATCAAAATACAAAACTCTTTTGGGCCAGCCTTACATTGAAGGTCTATACATGTCATGTGATATTTCCACATCGTCAGGATGAATCGTCATTAGGTCCCACAGTGTTCAAGGATGGCGCAATAAGGGGGGAGGGCAAACATGAACTGGACAGTACTCGAACTTCATACAAATTTGGGGTGAAGTTGTGGCTGGATCACAAGAATTTTGGCTACGTGAGCGCCTCATTTTTTAGTAGGGCTGTTCGATTGGACATGGAGGATCGCCGTCTCCACGGATCCTTTTATGCGGTCGATCAACATGATTGATGTAATCCCTGAACCAGCCTGCTAGAGCCTTATGTATAAAGTCGTCTGGCTACTCATGAGTAGTCAGAACGTTTTGCTCAACCGGTCGTCAGTCATTGCAGCGGATCCAATCCTACATATTGGCCTGGAATTGCTTCAATCGCCGGACTTACACGGCCATCTCCGACTGTACCGACTGGTCGCAGGAAATCATCATACGCATTCTCAAGGGATTATTCTGGAATATAGTGGGTAAGCAGCTTACTTTGGCCAACCACTTTACATGTGAGCCTGGGAGAACGAAGACAACAAGCCGTGTGACCCCTGTCCAAAACAAGTAGAAGTTTCACCGTGACAGTTTTTGGACAGGAAAAAGACTATGAGCGCACGACAACAGTGTCACTTAAACTTTACTTATGACAGAGGAATTCTCCAAAACCTCTTGATAGGTTACCGGGATATGCTTGATTGTAACGTTCTAAGGAGCAGCTAATTGTTTCGCAACTGTTGTTGCATCTTCTTGATGTTGTGTTGGAAACGCCAACATGAGACTTACGACTGGCTACGCAAAAAACAAAAGGCGGGTTTCATCTCATCTACAGTTTTGTTCTATCGAATTCACTTCACTGTGGAAGGTCAACCGAATTCGGTGGTTTTCTTGACTTATTTGAAGTTTGTAGTTAGTAGCTGTTCACCCTTCCCTCTACATTGAAAACAGCTATTTTGTAGGTTCAGGTAATCTTGAAACTCTCTGAAGTATACAAATTGTTATATCTGCTGATTCGCCAATCTGTGGTATCTGCTCCTGACTCACTCCAGTGCCTAATGCCGGAGAAAAAAAGACTCACAGAAGGGAACATAACAGCTATATTCCGAACAAGCGAGTGCGAGAGCGTGAGTGCGTGCGAGTGCGAGAGCACGAGTTACAACGGCCCCACGCTATTTAAAGGGCACTTTCTGACATTGACCCTGGCTGCCGGATAGACATTTAGTGATCACCCATCAACATCGATCGTGCCCCTATGAAATGCCTGAACGCAGATCACATTCGGTCGTGCTTCTGTGGCGTGCATGAACACTCATCAGGTTTTGCTGAATTGATTGAATGATTGACTGGCCTGGATGCTTGCCGGCTTTCCTGATGAGATTTTGGTGGAGCAGTAGGTTTCGGGCGTTCTGAGGTTACTTTCAGGAATCAGACCTTCCTGATACAAATGATATTGGAAGGCATTCTATTGACTAATGATGTCCTCCTATGATGGAGCATATTTGGGATTCTGCCACCCACACCTTCCTTACACATTAGCTTAGCCATCTTGACGACCTAACAACCCGGCTGAAATCGGTTGCACATCAATCCTCGGGAATCTTCACTCAGAAACAAAAAGTCAGCTCCCCAAATTTTAGTTGTTGTGACTTTATGGACTTGTGGAAGATGTAGGATCCGCACCCACAAAGGTGTCAAGCGTGAATTCAGAATGATTCGGTTGGAGGAAGTAGTGGACCTCGTTGTGTCGCTGATTGACTCGCAAGATTGTGAGGCAATCAAGCAGTTATATTGTCCACGAACTGGGATCTTGTTTTGTGGTTTGAAATCCGCACAGTAACCTCGAAAGAATCCTAAAATCACCTATTTGGCCCTCAGAATTTCAGTCCTTAGGAAAATTCTGTGCATGGGGGTCACGGCAACTAGCTAGCAGAAAGGCAAAACCTATCGTCAGGTATGGCCACAGTTGGTTGCACAACACCTGTTTCTTCATAATCAACGTCAAACCGGAGCAGTAACATGACCATGGCCTGGGGTGAATACAGGCAGTGATTTCGAAAAAACCATCTTTCTAGATTTGGTTGTGGGAAAAAGTACGACGCTGCCGGTAACTAGTGGATCGAATCACTGAACAACGATGAAGGCTAAACCTGTAATTATTTGCTGCATTTGTACACCTCTGTACGCAAATGAAGAATGTGATAACTTTTTTGGGCGATACATTCGGCAGGAGATTGGTTTTTAGCTGAATTTCAGCGTTAGGAAAAGTATCCACTGTGATTTCCGAGGCGTTCCTCATGACTAAAATTTGAAGGTCAGGTGGCAGAATACAAGGCTAAAATTTTGTCTGCAAAACTTCTTGTAGAGCATAAGTGATTTATGTCAACGCTAATAGTGTGCCGTCATGACGATGCTACTAAACTTGTATCAGATTTCTTAAAAGGATGACAATCCAGGACCAATGAGCTTCATTGCCCTAAAAACGCAGTACAGACAGCGAGTAACTGAAGGTTGAATGAAGAGTTCGTTACAATAGTCACACGTATTGCCGACATCATATCGCAAACCCATGTTTGACAAAGTCAGGCAATAAGACATCCACTGAAATATGGCAACTTACACGCAACTCATTTGCCAACACATGTGCCCCAGTGATGTCTTCTTCCAATGGCCGAGCGTGGTCTGGATGTGTCATTTTGATTCGCCTTGACAACTTGGCCTCCACTTCGTTCACCGCATGATGGAACTGGACACGAATGAAGTACGGCAAAATATTTGTTGTCAGCTGGCTACTGAATATGTTTGTAAGTAGTTCGATAATATAATGAGTCCAGAGGAGCTTAAACGCCATAGTCATGAACCGTGCACTGTGATGGCCATACGCGAGAGGGTGAGACGAAAAATTTAATCACTGAATGAAAATGTCCCTCGTCAATCCTGCATGAGAACTACCCCTGTTAGAGAGAGAACATTCATCAGCTAACCTACATTAAAGTATATGAGCTCAACTGGTGCAAGGTACCACTTACCCTCAACATTAAACAAAGTAGATGTCTTGTTGAGGTACATTCTACCTATGCTTAAATCGCCACAGTACAAGTTAGAAAAGCGGTTAGCAAGTGCTGCTAAACAAATCCATGATCGGTTATCCAGCTAACAACGTCGCCGTCCAGTTGGAACATTCGGCACAAATGTGTATGTAGTAAATATCGTTTGATGAAACAGTGTATTTTATAGGCTTTTTTAAACGCAACAGCATACAATTTGATCGACTGGCTATTGATTTGAAGCACTTGTTTCTATTATGCGCAAAAATGATTTAACTTTCAAGGATCGTTTTACCGTCAAAAGGGGACCCTTTTTAGCGGACTTTTTTTGTGGCCTGTTCGGAGGCAAGGGTGGGTTTCATTCAGCCAAGTTTCATTCATTCAAGGTATCTTGACAGCCACCACTTTCCACGATAAAGAAAAAAACCCAATCGAGTTTCTCAGTGACACCTAAACTGCGCATCCAAATAAGATGATGACGATATGGTATTAATTCTGAACAGAAAACTACACCTTATAGAAGATCAAATCGTCGTAAACAAACTTAGCTGGCCAGTATTTACGATTCACTGGTTTTGAGGCATTCCGTGTAAACAAAGAGTAGTGCAAACTCTGTATGACAAAGCCAGAAGACAACGTTCACAGGATACCTTAACAACTGAGCCTGATTACCTGAACAAAATATTTCGCTCAGACGGCAACCATGTGGAAACATACTACTGACCACCCTGACCTAGAAGTATTTCCTTGCGTGACACTTAGAGAAGAATAAGGTGTTGGTGAGTTAATGAAACGTCGTCTCACATCTACTGTAAAGTGTACACATGGTGCTGCAAAACCAATCGCTCGTAACAGTTACGACCACGTCCCAGCCCGCCGGAAATAAATGTCCCTACATCCGTCCACCAAAACCGACTTGGTAGGGCTCTTAGTCATGTACAACCAATTCAACCCACGGCAGCTGAGCACGTGCCCACGACAGGAGTGAAAGGGCTGTAAGTTCAATTAACTCCATCCCCTGTCAGCAACGAATTTACGGGGAAAATTCAGTAGGTTCCGACTGATGCAAGCGCATCCATCGACCTATATTGGGAGTGCGCTCACTTGTTGAATGTTCGTTAGCAAACAGCTATTCTACGAAGTGTTGTGTTACATCACTGAGCGTGGCAATTCCCTCCATACTACCCCCCCCCCCCCCAAAAAAAAAAAACAAGGGACTGTTGGGTGCTAGAGAGTCGTTTATGCGGTCTTTTCAGTTTGCCCTCGAATAAGAATTCATTCCATATACCATTACAAAACCCACTTTAAATCGTCAAGCAATCCGCACATAGACGTAGTAATCTTTATTGCAGAAATGATAGTATCCTTGTCCTTATCTTATCATTCAAGTGGATAAATTATCAACAGATGTGTCTCTTGTAACTGATCAGGTGGTGGTTGATCTGTTCTCCCAGGTTATCAATTGACTTGCAGAAAAGTCATCATCATTCAAGCTGACATCATCAGTGTGCCTTTGGGTGGGTGATTCCTCCCTTCGGTCTTGCGTTCATACGTTTTGTAGCTTGATTAACTACCTGGCCATCATCCCATTTGCATTCAGATTGGTCCGATCGTGATCGGTGTTGCGCTGTGGTCCAAATTCTTGCTGTCTGGTTGGCCGATGCTTTACCTTCCATTTCTGCAAACCGTATAGGCGGAAGCACGAAGAGAGCAACTATCCACTCAGCGGTAGGCTGATTGTGTCTCCTCGAATAGTGACTAAACATCTGCAAGCCAATTACCAAGCTCGGCAAACAGATCAACAACCACTTGATCAACTAACAACGCATACACCTGAGCTAGTTATATTCCGACACATTACCAACCTCTGCCTCCAGAATACTTGAGTACGCTAGAATGACTGCTGTACCTACTCTTATGATCCCATAGCACCAGTCGGGCAAGCCAAATCGTTGAAGTGTTTCTTTTTGGGTCACATTAGTCTCTTCCAGGTTTTGCCTGCAAATTGTTCACCATAGTTCGTCTGATCTTATCTGTATGGCAGCCAAAGGTGTTGCATGATATACTTGGGCACTGAGAGTGGAACATAGGATAATGACGATGCCTCGTTGTTCTTCCATTTTTTGGCACGATTTCTCTCCAACAGACTGTCTAATTAAGTTAGGATCTTCCACACAAAACTCAGATTTCACAGTTATAACGGATCAATTCCTGCATTTGTACTCTCAACCTGATAGGTTGTTTTCTTTTTCTCATGGCAAGCATGTGCACACACACTGATTTACATAGAAGACGGATCAATTTTTTCCATCTGCTGAGGTTTTTGTATCTGCCACCATCTTGAATCATGCGGTATAAGGTGTGGATCGCAAGAAACCCTAAGAAAAATGGTCTGGAAAGGAAATATCTTGGCCGTGGTCTGCGCAAGCTCGACGACCGTGCAACTCAAATCGTATGATCGTTCACTTAACGTAGCTGATCTGTTGAGTCCCGGGATAAGCCAGTTCTTGTGTTGTTTGACAAAACGAGTGAATAAGGCTCAACTCAAAACTTCCTCACCGCTGGAAGAGTTATTAACTCGAATGACCGAGACAACCTCCATTTCGGTAGCATCAACATCGATTTTTCGGAGTCGCTGTTAAGTAGTGCGGCTGTCACGTGAAGTGTTCAGCTCGTCAAGGTCGTCTGACTTGACGTTTTGCTCAAACACAAATGGGCATTCACAGCCATTAGAGCTTTCCCTGAGTTTTAAAATTTTCAGAACTGTCTCCATGAGTTTATAAAAAGTTACTTCAACTGTTCTAAAGCCATTTATTGTGCAGTTTGACTGGAACTTGAACTACGTTGACTGCACAATGCTGTTAGGATCATGGCTCGCGGATGTCATAACGACTATGTCACTTAACTGAAAGACACAACTAAAGCAAGCTATAATTTTGCGTCGGATAGCCATCTCACATTTACATGAGAACCGCATATAATCAAGGTAATAACCACAATGTTGTACGGCTAAAAAACCGAGTTTTTACCCATGGTATTTGAGAATCATACCTGTTGATATTCGGCCGCGTTGCGAATGTGAACTTGGGTGAGTCGAGACAGATTTGACACATAATTCCAACAGCTTTGGACATTTCCACCGAGATCCTGAAAAACAAACAAAGGTTTCACGAGTATCATTAGATGAAGTCGAAAACTGAATGATGTTTGAATTCCCCGTCGCCACTTGATCTGCTAAGAGAAACTCACTTTCTTCACATATACTGACTCCGTTAGCGCCTTTGGACTGCTGAGTTGTACTGATGTCTCGGAGACATTTTCAGTTAGTACCTAATCAGAAAGTAATAGAGAGATAGATGAATATGACATACTGTGAATGACCGTTCCAGTCGCGATATGGTTTCGAGGTAGCGGAGCGCGGCGGAATTACTCTTGATGTCACTCTGGTAGGAAAAGCCGTTGGAATCTCAATTGACTGATAACTTACCCGTAGTTCTGACGCGCGCTGTGGTAAACCGGACTTTTGTGATGCCTGTTGGATGACGGTAGTCATTCACGGATTCACAATGCTCAAAACTTACGGAATCTTTGAGCTCTTGCTCAAGCTTCTTGACTCTCTGAAGTAACTCATCTTGCTGAATACGTTCGGTGTCTAAAGCCAAGTGGTTCACACCAATACAGACGGCTCGAGCTTTGTGCTGAAATCAAAGATGGACAGAGAGTGAATGTGTGGAACACCCGGTCTGTTGTAGAATTCATGTGCGTGAATTGAAGTCTTCTGCTTGGTCGAACTAGCAAACTTGAGACGCTGGACTTCATGAATGCAACAAAGACACTTCAAATTAATTCCGCAATAACGATTCCCAACCTAAGAATATCAGGAAAACTGGCGGCATTCGCTTCGAATTCAACATAATTTGGAGAGCAGTCAGTATTCAAAATATCGCTATAATAGGTTCAATGGGACAATGAAATAGGCAGAGAGGATTAGAAGTTTATGAGCTGAGAGCATTGTCTCCCTGAAGACTAGCTCCAGGAGCCCACAGATATCAATTTCAGAACATCAGCGGTCACACCAACAACTGGGGGAAGACTTGTTACACACGCTTGTGAAAAAGCGTACCAAGCTCTGCAATTCTAACGACTGTCTTTTCGCGTTGCCTAGTGTTTACTGCGATATGTGAAGATGATGAATACGGGTTGACCTCAGCTAAGCTCGTCAATGGCTGAACAAACCATCAGCAAATTTTGGAGGTGAACTTACCCACACCTGTCACATGATGCCATTGTTATACTGATCGATTTTCGTGGTACAGTTGTGCTCGATGATTGATTACACTGCCAACAAAAGGCCCCATTTGTTCATCTGTCTCGGTAATCATCTGTCAAAAAAGCATCTTGTGAAGACACTCATTCACGGAGCTTGTTTTGCTGAATTGCACTTTTTTGGTTGCGGTTACTTGGTGAGAATTCCCACAGGTTGATGTTCTCATTTTTAAACGCCGGGCTGGCCCTTCCGGACGGGTGTTTGAAATCTCTCCAGTTGAATTGTCCAACTGTTTATCAAGCGTCATTCGCCCTAACAGTTCATGTTAGTTACTGCTGTTCTTACTACATATATAAACCCCATAACAGCCGAAATCCAGTGACCCGTAAGTAATCCAAATTCATTGCTGATGTGGCCGGTCTCAGCCCAGTTCCACGCTATATAACTTCTGCCAGCGATGAATGCTGTGTCAACCTCCACTAAAACAGGCAAGTTGCTTTCATAATTGTCACGAGGGTATCACCGTTTGTCCCGAATCTCACCTTAGTACAACCGAGCTCTTATCAGGTGTGGAAGGCGCCGGGATCGCCTCACGTTGGAGGTCAGTGTAGGACCTGAAATACCTCACTACCGACCGCAGGACGCATGAATACATCACCCAGATGGGTCTCCACTCAGTTCGCTATGAACCCTGTCTGAATAGATGTATCCCGAAAACATGAAAGACCATCTTAATCCTCATTTCATCCAACAGCACTTTGATCCCCATGCAAAATCACTAATTAATCCCAAAAATGCATCGTTTCCATGACGCGCAGATTCAATAAACTGAACAAAAGCTCAACGTAAAAGCAAATTATTGTCCACTAATGATCTCTGGGTTAAACTTTGATTCACAGAGCATCTTAACAGTAGCGTGCATTGTCACCCAGTCCCGATTACTTCTTCGCCTTACTTTTCTGCACCATAAAAGGTCTGGTTCTCACTTTCGTCCCTCCAGCCAAATGAACCACGGATGTTCAGACAGATGAGCTATTGAAAAAATCAATATCAAAGCAAACTTCCATACAATTGCATAAGTGCTGAAATACATTAGAGTAGTGTGGTATGCCACACTGACTTCACAGAAGGTTCCTAACCCCCTGAAACTACCATTTGATTGACCTTTTCCTAGGCGAGCACTGTACCTCGGGATCGATACTCAGTGTTTGGTGCCCAGCTGGTGTGCTACCAGAAGGAAGCAACAGGACTGAGATAATGGTAAGTTGAACAAGTCTGAACAGGAGTAATCGATATGCTCATGTTGGTTTCGAACCAGGAACGTTCCGATTAGTAAGCTTGCGCCTTAAACAGTAGGATTTCTGTCGTCCAAACTCGGGATCAAGTGTCCACAAATTCCTAAGAGGTTGAACACGCTCAGTGTCTATTCCGACACATCTGCCATTGAGGCCGAGTGTACGCATCTCAACTAAGAGGGGGAGCCAAAGATGGATGTCGCAGATAACTGACGAATACAAACAAAATTCTATCACTCACTATATGTTCAAACAGTTTTCATAACACTACTGAACTCCGGGGATTGAAATAAAAGAACCGTGCTAGGTAGAAACATCACACGAGGCAATCGTGTTGAGTCCCAAGAAATGAGGCATTTCTTTTCAACGATGCTAACTCTAATCTCCCAATGACTGCTAGACAGATGATCAATGATTTTGCCAATGTTCAAATAAAATTGCATAAACTGTTTGCTGCACTGAGACACAACGAAATACCAAGTGTGCAAGAGCTTACCTCGTATTCGGACAGCTGCGATTCCAAAAGCTTTGTGCCTACAAAGAGGAGAGAGGATGTTGAAGAACAGAGTAAAGCGTACTGCCGGATCGTCTTTGTGGAGGCATATGTTTAAATGTGACGTAACATCTTATCGTTGAGGCACAGTAGGACTTGGCTACTACCGGTGCAGTTAAGGCACCGCAGAAAGTGTTGATTGTGTGAGAAAGACATTGAAAATCAGGCTAATGCTTCCTAACGGACATCGACCTGACTGAGGCAACTGTGGTTACTTGGTCACGATAAATGAGATTCAGACCTGAGCAAGGCAGTGTTCTGATAGGTCGACTCAGTTGATAGGGCTCAGTTGGCACATGCATAATCAGGCAAAATTGTGACACAATTGTGTGGACAGTGGATTCACAGTCTTCAACAGGATGGTGTTGTGTGTATTGGTGTTTTCTCTCTGTCTCTCTCTCTCTGTGTGTGTGTGCGTGTGTGTGTGTGTGTGTTTGTGTGTGTGTGTGTGTAGACAACCGGCAATCGACCGATTCCTCTCGGATCAGATGCGTCATCCGATGCGGAGTTTGCCGGAATGTGCTGCTCGGGACTGTGCTCAGGTGGTACGTGGATTGGCCCCGCGCGCGATACCTGCGACTGCCCACACACACTCAGTTTTACCGACCGGTCTAGCTGAGTTTCATACCCGGTCTAAATGGTGGAAAGTAGCTCAGGCAAATCTGATACATTTGTGAGTAACTATGATGCGCATGACTGCTGTATAGCTCTGTGGCTCAGTGACGCAACTACGTAATTGCCAGGCCTTTGTTGAAAAAAGTTGTATCGATTGGATTTGTTCTTGAGAAAACGGTTGAAAAACATGAAATATAACGCTTCATTAGGATGTTCAGGAGCTATTAAAAACCTGATATTATTGTATACCCATCAAAATGAACAGCCATGACCAGTAATTACACTTATCGTCAGTATTTTGCGAAAAAGACTCAGTTACACAAGACTGCTAGTGCTTTTTTCCAAGTCGGACAGACTGTTAACTTCTACAGCCATGACCAGTAATTACACTTATCGTCAATATTTTGCGAAAAAGACTCAGTTACGTAAGACTGCTAGTGTTTTTTTTCCAAGTCGGACAGACTGTTAACTTCTACCTGATGGCCTAGCAACAAGGGGTTTCCCAGTGTATATCACTGCATCTACGGTAGTCTATCCTTTATATTTCCAGAGTTTTTTGAAGTCAACCGGGCACCATGCCAAGAGATGCCGTTCTGTCACTGCGACGTACAACCATGATCTTTTCTTTCGGCGGAAAACAGTTCTGTGAGGTAGCCAACAAATAAATCACGCTTTTATAGCATTCAGCAAACAAGGCAACCGCTACCTGATCTAAATGAACAAAAGTCAGTCGAGTTCATGTGACGTAGAAAGCGAAACGGAATCAACGTCGGGGATGCGAATCGCCCAATCGGTCATCGGAGAATTCACCTGGGAAAAGATTTACCCTGAAACTAGTACCGATCTGTTCATAATTGTGAATTACCAAGTAATGCTCGTTCTGAGAGGATCCTAACCGCTGAAGGAAAATTTACCATAACGATCGGTAACTTTCTGAGAGTGGCATGTGTACAGTGGGGAGCGACCTCGGTTGTAGCTTGGAACCTACATGATTGGGGTGCGATGATACGAGTGTCTTCCTATCCATGCTCACCACATGCACAAATTAGGCTCTTGATTTCATTTCAGTCCTGGGAGGACCTAACAATTTTCCTATAGGGGTCCACGAAAGACACGGAAACCGGTGTAGTAAACTACCTGAATAGTGGTGATTTGACATAGCGAGGGAGCACCCAGAAAATTCAAGTTAAACCGTGCAGATACTATCATTGGAGTTCTTGGGTTCGTTTTCGTTACACCATAAGACTCAGTGCGTTTCGGAATTGAGGTAGCAGAGATAATGGTTTTGGGAATCAGATGGATGGGGATCCAAGCGTACAACTGCAAACGAAATTAGGGGACACGAACCCATGGGCTCTTGCTTACAAGGCGAGTACTCTACCAAATGAGCTGACACAGACACTGTCCCGCTTTACGCTTGTGAACTTGAATTCCACATGGATATATTCAACTTCAATCTAATAGGTCAATAGCCAGTGAGCATCACAAGCGAGACCTTCACAGGCGATTAGTGTATGTGCAGTTTAATGTTTGCTAACTTCACAGGGTTCCGGACAAAACAATAATTTCCAAGTGCCACCCTGAAGCGTCAAGACAGACACCTTCAACGAACATCCCCTTCGTTGTGATGTTCATGGAAGCCTTCGTTGTCGACCGTGATGCGTCAGGATTCTGGTAGTTTGGACGCGCTAACTGTTCCTTGACTAGGCAGCTGTTTGTCCTTGTTCACCGAGATTGGCAACTGGCTTGTAGAGCTTCCTTCACAACCACGGTTAACCCTGTCGCATTAGGTCTAGTGCAATCTTGCCCAGGGGATGCGCACAAACACGGCCTTCGAAACTAACCACATAATATGGGAAAAATAATTAAGCTTGTCCTGCCGGATACAGCCGATATTAATCAGAACTTTTTCAGCTTTCTTGATCCTAACTACTACCTTCTTCTAGTTTTAAAGGGTTTTACCAAATATCTAATGGTATTTTTTTTAGAGGAAAATACTCGTAAAGTTGCTGAAAACTGTTCGAAAGCCCATAAACGAGAGATTCAGTTGAGTTTCCCATGAAAGTCAAACTGATTTGCAAATGAATGTACCGTAACCTCAAAAATCGATCAGTCCAACGTGAAAAGTGAAGAAAGAAGTGTCGCGGCCTTTTGGACTGGAATTAATGACAAACATTCAATTGGTTTTCTGTACTTGCAAGAGTATGCCTTATAGTATTGGAATAGTAAGTGCTGAAGGTCTCGCCGAGGAAATCGCAGACAAGACCAGAAATTTCGTGCACTCTTTCACAGCGGGACACTGTTCGGTGTGCATCGTAATTGTTCTGATCAAATATGACACAGACCAGCCCTCCCCAAGGATGGATAGATTCGACGACAAGATAATTCTGATTGCGTGGGAATTCTCCATCGTGAAGGGAACAGTGCTGATTTATCCTCCTTTCTAAAAGGGAGCAACACAAACAGAACGCCATCCGGCCACGTTAACAAACCTACTGCCATACTGAGTAGCCTTTTCATCAAAACCATTGACGGTTTACCGTTCCGCAACCTCAACGAGTTATGCTTTACTTAGCATGACTTGTTTCTGGTCGATAATTTGGCCTAGAATATTTGGGAAGCAAGTCAGAAAATGATGAGTTGCCAATTGAAGCTCGACTCTGACCTTACTGTCTCATTCACAAATATGCAGGGTTTTTGACACTCTGATAGTTTCATTTCAGAGGAATCATAATATATCATTACACACCCACAAGAGCCGTTTAAAGATCCAATGTGTGACGGTGATACTACTGATGGGAGAGGCATGCAAGTAGTATGTTTTTTCGTAAGTCCACTTCGCTCTCTTGTGAAGTGAGATCTGTTACGGAATTTGTGGAGTCGCTTTGTAGCATTTACTTACATTTGAGCAACATTCAATGAATATCTAGGAAAGTTCAGGAAGATGGATATTCAGGAGGGTGGATATTCAGTTTTTGTAAACAAGATGCATATGAGAGTTTCGCTTCCCTGTCCACTAGTCTGTAACTGGTCAGTTGGCATTTTGTAGTAGATAACTCTGCAGCGAGGGCTTCACTAGTAGTCGAGTGCAGAAGACGTGACGTAAATCAGTCCTCCTAAGAAAAAACGCCTGTGCTCAAGGCACTCTGGTGTGCTCAAAAAGGTAGTTTCCCACCCGGGTGTACCGGGCGAACAGAACTGCTTACCAAATCCATATGGATCGCACAAGTGGGGCAACACCATCTCTGGAGTGTCTACTTGAGTACCGCCATCTGATACGTAATCGTCGCGTGCACTTTTTCAAAATTCAAGGCCAGCGTCAATTTAAATAGGAGTAATGAAAAGGATCTTGGGGAGTTGTACGCGATATGGGGAGTGGAATAACTAAGTAGGAATGATATCTCCGAATGCCTTCCACTCGGCTTTTTGCTATCGGCACTCACCGTGCCGGATACGGTTTGTCCAATCGCGTCTGTTACATGCCATGGAATAAGCAAATTTAGTGGGCTCTAAATCGATCCTCCTCTGTCACGAGGAGGTATGAATGAACACTAGTCTTTTCGCATATCGTCTACTTGTGTGCTTCGTGGCAGACAGCCAGTGACTCCAATAAACCCCAGTTTTCACTAAATGGAAGTGAATATTTGCTATCAAGTTCCAGTTGATAACCTAATGTTTCATAGTTCGAACCCAGTCCTGTCAGTGCCAAGTGCTTCTGGCTAAACATAAGCAAGCTGACACCAGTTCACTTTCTTCATTTGATGCGATTTTATGTCAAGGGTATATTACGCTCCCCCAATCCAAACGGAACGATACCGGCTAAGTCTGACGCTCATTTTGACGTTAGTCCCGTTTCTTGAACCTAATTGTAGGGATTATGTGTTGAATGTGATGTCTGATCAGCACTATAAAGAACAATTAATTCTTTTAAAAGGTTGGTGAATTTCAAACTGTCATTATTGATCTAATAAGCCCAATAGATTTTTTCACTCGGTTGTAGGCAGTATTCAAGTTACTCCTGTGCAAGTGAGATTGGAATTTTTCAAGGATATCCTCTCGGTGCATGCGGATTGGCCATCGATCACGTGCAATTATTGACAAGGCTAATGGAACATTTTGAGTAAACTACATTGAACGTGGTTCATAATAACTAGGCCTACTTAATGCATACCACATGATGAGCGGATAATTACCATTGTATACAATGAATCTGAGTGAGAGGATCATGAGTAGGAGCTAAGCTGGAACGACAAAACTTTGGTTGAATCACAAGGTTGAGTTGACGACTGTGCTCGCACCCTGGAGCAATACATCATGTTAGCTGACACCCCTGTAGTTTCCCCACTGATTCGGCAGCTACTTGGAGCAAATGACATCCACTTGTATACTGTTTATGGCAGTGCGGAAAACCATCAACCAAT